ACGGACGCTTCAACAAATTTAAGTTGCGAAAAATGAATAAAACTGCTCCGCTCTTGGTGTTTATTGGTAAAGACTGAGAAAAGATGAGTCCTATAATCAGGAGAAAAAGGTAAACGAGTCTTGCGAATAAATCCCCTGCATTAAAAGGAAGATGCCTATTCAATCCGTACAAGATCCGGTATACTTTTTACGTGATACTTAAAAGTAGGCTAGAAATGCCTACAAAGAAACAGGCAATCCTCACATATTTCATTTTTTCGACTGAATACCTATGAGAAATCGCAAGCTAAGTTGAAAACCGACTGAGCTAGTTGATGAGACACTGACAAATAGCAAGCTGTGATTTATTCCGGCCATAGATAAGGCTTCATTCTTCAAGAGATTTATTAGAACATTAGTCCAGCTATGGATATGTAGAGTAAGATGGCTAAACAATATTCATTCCAGAAGCATGGTTGATGATGTAAAGCAAATTAAATACCACCCTCTTTTATCCCAATTCATTTTGGCTTAACTCCAAATGATCAAGTTCGGAAATTTCGCTACTCGCTCATAAAGCTCGACTTCTATTTAGTTTTTGACTTATTCTATCGAGTTGGCTAGCGTGTCCTCTCAACTCACATTAAACTCCAGTTAATAAGATCTTCATCCTTTCAACATTAATCTCGTAAGAATAGTTGATATGAAGATATGTAAATGCTAAAAATTAAGTTTTTATGATATTCAAAACTGTAAACTATGGATAGTGAGAGAAGCCATATGAACCGCAGCAAATTTTAATAAATGGATTCTTACCGTTGCTAAGAAATGCTGGGGTTCGAGAATGCTCTGGAGCAAGTTAGCAAGGGCTGCCCATAGACATCTACACAAGATTGGTGTCGGACATCTATGAACTCTTCAACGTATATTCGTGCTAGATATGCTTCAAAATTATTATTATTACCATTTGAATAAGCAATTTAGTCGTTATAGGTGGGTAATCAAAGATTTCTCATAAATAAATTGAATAGGCCACATGATATCATAGGATGCTAAATCCCGTTGGTCAAGCAGACGAGGCGGTGCTAAAAGTGAAATTCGTAAGCAAGTCCACATGAGAAAGTCTTCATTACCATCCTTATATTACCTTTAAACACTTGTGCCGACACAATATCCACTACTCACTATTTCAATAGTAGTTTCGCCTAACATAATGGCAAATACATTGTCTTTATAATTGTGACTTGAGAAAGGCCTTGAAAGTCACATCCGCCCTCTGGCAAATTTTTTTATATGTCGGAGGGATAGATTATTGCCACCTGATACTAAACCAGTCTGGATGCTAAATCCCGTTGGTCAAGCAGACGAGGCGTTGATAAAAGTGAAATTCTTAAGCAAGTCCACATGAGAGAATCTTCATTATTCATCCTTATATTTTCTTCAAATACTTGGGTTGGCACGAGTCCAAATAGAAATATACTGTTATTTTGTAACACTACTCACTATTTCAATAGTAGTTTTGCCTAACATAATGGCAAATACATTGTCTCTATAATTGTGATTTGAGAAAGACCTTGAAAGTCGCATCGCCCTCTGGCAAGTTCGTTTATATGTCGGAGGGGTAGATTATCGCCACCTGATACCAAACCAGTCTGGAGTGGTAATGAGGCGGTGAGGCGGTGAGGCGATGAGTTACAGGACAAACTACAGTCCGGCCCTTCGGAGAAGAACTGACCTAATGTCTTTCTCATCGAGAATTGTTCTTCCTGCTACCTCTGATCTAGGACATAGCACGCGAAGCAACTACCCATACTTTAGTGGGGATCAGACTTGACATGGATAGCAGATTTTACCCTTGAGTGAAGCTTTATGTTACAGCCAACAGTTTATACTGACTAGGCCTTGGTAAATGCAAGTTTGAGCCTCTGTCTTTTTATTTTCTATTCAAGATCTTATACTCAAATGTCAGCATGCGCCACCAAATAAGCCTCATTTTCATTTCTTTTCGGCGTGAGTAGGCTTTTGAGACTATCCGTGATTCTTGAGTAAGAACTTAATTAGTCTAATTCACTTGAGATAAGCTAAGGTATGTTAATTGCGTTTTTCCCATAATGAGTTGAATAGACCTCATTGAAAATGCTATGCTATCGTGAGGCCTACTCCACTTCTTGAGGGAAAAAATACCACTGTTAGTCATTAAGTCCCTTGAAACGATCTAGGCTGACTAAGATCTCATTCAACAACTACTGATAGCATCAAAAACTACTTAAATAGAAAATTAAGTTACGTCGTCCATTCCAATGTCAATTGTACGTTTGTTGTGGAGCCTCTAATTTCGCAGGAAAGTTCCTACTGAACGGATCCGTGGGTTCGTCTCTCCAGAATACGACGGTCCATTCGCGTTGCTCTGCTGAAATAGTCCACAATGCATTCCCCGCCTCGTCTCGAGTAAAAAAGTGGCTAAACATTCGCCCATCATGTGATGGAGCAAATTCTTGTGTGCTTTCGTCCGAAACCAAGGAGAATGTCTCATGAACTGCATCCGCGTAAAAGTCGTACTCCTGAATGCAGCACAACGGGAATCGACCGTCGTTTTCCTGGTATATTAACCAACAAAGCACTTTCCCACGAAATAAAAGTCACCTCGGCAATGTTAGCTTAAGAGAATCATACAAACTTAGTTACGCTTCATATTTACAATTATACGCTTGCTTATTAGACAATGTAACGATAGAAATGTGGAGTGGAGTGGAGTGGGAATCTTGCCAGAAAACCGGTGACTCGGTATCGAATCCCGTTGAGGCTATTAATGAGACGTAATGAGGTGACCCAAGTGAAGTCCAATGGCATCGTGGGATAAAAACTCAATTATCAGCTCTTAACTACCCTTAAACGACCGAGCCTTTAGTGAAATGTATTGGTCTCATTCAATTGTGCGAACAATCGGCTACTAATCCCAAATCTTGCCATGCGACGCAAGACGACTCAAGGGCTCATTCTGCTCTGGAATGCAGTGGTACCGGCCAATGATCTGAGTAGTTTGCTTCACCGCGATTTCCATTCTCTCCACCGGCATGACTCACTTTGGAATTCTTTCTGTTCAGCGTTGATGTTGGAGAGTATATTTGAGATGTAGCCAAGCACCAACGCGAAGACGAGCAGGCCGAGCACCAACTCGAATAGAACGAACAAGTATCCGACATTCTCGAACGGAGTCGGCAGTCCGGTCCCGGTGAGGGTGAGCGCCATTGTCGAATGGTACAGAGTGTCCAGATACGCGTTGCTGCCCGCCCTGGTCCGCGTGCTCGCGACGGTCGTCTTGACCGTCCGGTTGTCAACTCCAACTGCCGCGACTGGATCGGCTGTCACGAAGGGACTGCGCCAAGTGGCCAAAGCGTCACGCAGTGCGGCCGCCACTTCGGCCGAGAAGTCGGCGTCGAGGAGGCCGGCGCCGCGGTACAGCACAAGCCCGGCGACCAAACGATGCAGACAGGCGTTCCAGTGAAAGAGGATGGCCAATCCGTGCAAAAGGTAGACGACTCGGAAGGCGTTCGGGTGCGCCGTGTGGCGCTCGAAGTGGGCCGGATAGGCGAGAACTTGACGGAACTTGGCGAGCCGAATGATGCGCACCAGCGACATGTAGCCGATCGAAAGGTAGAGAAAGTCGAGCGGCAACAGCGCCAGAAGATCGACATAGAAACGCGTCGAGTTCATGTAGTGGGCTCGAATCCGGCTGGGCGTCGTCTGTAGCACACCCTCTTCATAGTGGGCCGTGTGCAGGCCGACAATGATGTCGCCCAGGTAGACGGCGTCGGCCAGATAGTCGGCCAGAAACCAGGTGATTCGAGTTGCCGTGGAGACCTCGTCAAAAGCGAATCGGTAGACAATGACCCAGAGGTTGTAGAGAAAGGCCAGCGTCACTATGCCCTGCCAGACGTGCAAAAGTTGGCTGCAAGGATCGACGAAACGGCCTCTCTCTCGACCGGCCGACGCGACATCAGCCGCTCTGGACGCCGCCTCGTCTGACCGACATGGCAACGGGGCCTTGTGTTGATTGTCACGGCAACAGGTGGGCCCGGCGCCGGGGAACCGGGCCATTTGGGGCCTCGTCTCCTCCGCCCTCCTCACGTTTCACCGGCCTCGAAGGACACGTGGACACGGCTTCGGAGTCAGCCGAGGGTAGGGCGTCCTGGGCGCTTGTGAAACGGCAGCATGGCTCACATGTGCCAGGCCCGTGGTGTAGAGGCAGGCTGTGCTGGAGGGGAACAGCCAATGGGCGAACAGATGCCTTGAGCCAATCAAAACGCCGCATCCGGTCTCCCTCCTCTGCAACTACTTGCCTCTAACCGTCCAATCAGATCGTCAGGAGAGCCTTGTCAATCTACTCATTTTGTCGTTTAGATCGATCAAACAGACTATGAAATCGGTCTGCAACAGTGTTGGCACCGGGCTAGCGTGGGTAGCAGGCGCGTAGGCAACACAATAATCCTACATGCCTGTTCCGCGAAAAAGGAGGATCTACATTACTTTATTATTCAATTTAACTTGTGCTGAATACCTTTAATGTTCCAGTCTCACTTTATTTCATTTCTTTCGGAAGGGCAGATGCAATCGCGTTCTCAAATCGTCCTCATCGGTAGGCCAACTTTTGTTCATATCTCTTCTTACGTAAAAGAGCTGTATTCACTCTAGTTTGATGAAGATGATGAAGAATTGGTAGTCAAATATTGCCACAATCATATGAATTGATCTCAAGCTTCCATTTATTCTCGCATGGTCTTATTTCTCGAAGGGCATCCTCATCCAGGCCAGATTGGACTGCAGTTTTGACCGGAAGCTTCTGATAAAGCTCACACAAGGTCGAAACTGCAGTCCAATCCAGTTCAAACTGGCCGTGATGAGATTGCCCTTTCGGAGGCAAGTCTAAATGAATTGTAATGACATCGTGAGGCCTATTCAGCTGATTGTGGAAAGGCTCCACACCCTTCGCCATTAAATCACCTCAAGTCAATTACGCAAAGTACTCGTTCAAGAATTAGGGTTACTCTCGGAGGCTGTCCCTGGCAAAAACATATTTTGGGACAATTTTCTCTTATCCTATGCGATGGAGGGAGTGAATTTCTCCTTGGCCCACTAAGTCAAGCAGATTGTGACTCAACTCGGTTCATTTGTCTGCAGAGCAAATGCATTTTGCTTATTCATGAGAAGTAGCTAGGTTTTGAGGAATCTCCCAAATTAGCCGAGTCTTCTTGGCTTGGTGTTAACTTGAGACTTTTGCAAGAAGATGTTCAATATTTGATGATGGAAGTGTAGCGTGTAGTGAGCAGTCTGACTCGCAACCATGCGCACCCACATTTGTAATGATAAGTGCCCTGAGTAATTGGAAAGAGATGTAATAAAATCATTCTATATCCATTTATATCCACATATTTGCATTTTTACTCATAAGTAGCTGATAGATAATGTTTTTGACTTTATCTTAATTTGAAGCTCTGGCAGGAAAGAATTCCAGCTCGTGTAGTGCATCAACATGAACGTCGTAATAAAGCTAAATGGGAATAGACAATCCTCTTCGGGTTAGA